TAAGTAGATGCTACGTACGTGTGATAAACAACCGTTCTCATACGGATATTATTTTACGCCTTCTATAAAGATGATATTTGCCAGTGCGTAGTGCTCAACATAGCGTTTTGCGGTGAGCTTCTAAAGCCACCAAGGATATGTTGAAGCTGAGCGGTTCTTTGCTGTATAAATCCGCGTGTTCTTGGCTTTTTTCTTACCTTAAAAGGTAAGGTCACTTGCGGATATTAAAAGCAAGGCTCTCAAATTTTACGATCCTATACACTAAGCAATGAAGACAAGAGTTAGCTAGCGGCGTCATCTAGCCCACTTTAGTGGTCTAAGGAGATAATTTTTTGAAACAACAACGTTGTTTCTTGTTGCGGTGCTACAAAATAACTTCAAATAACTTTTTCACCTGCCCTGCCCTTAGTAATCAGAGATTCTAGCATAACAAGCCTAACAACAAAGATTACGTTATCGAAGCATCCATGTGATTCAATGACGACCCTTAGCTGAAAGGACCGCAGAGAAATGGAGTATACGAAGCGCTTTCGGTTGCACCATGGAAATACAAATTTCTATGTAAGTCTATTTTAGTTTCAGTTTAAGGTCTTTTTACGTAAATAGTTGATGGAACGCTAACATAACGTGTAGCCCACGATATGGCTTTCTTAGGCTTCAAAATAACGTTGTTCAAAAATGGGATGGTGATCCAGCTGACTCTATGTTAACCCGTGTTGTGCCACGAATTCCAGTAGAAATCTACGAGCTCCTAGGTCTTGCGACTCAATGGTTTATAATTATCTACTTTTAGAAACTAGATCATGTCTAGAAAACTACTTTTGTGCACTAGTAGAAGAATAATTAATGACATGAAGCGGTGGACAGCTTAAATTTATTACTTTTCCAGCACAGAATGTATTTTCGATCCCTTTCTTTTGCTTGCATGTTAGGTTTTGCTTTTTCGTTGAGTCATGTCACTGAGTGGGGTGACGCTCTGCAAGAGTTCAACTTTAGCACGAAATCACCTGTTTGCTGAAACGGATACTGTCCCAATCAGATTAAAATAAATTCATTTATGTCTTTGTGGCTTTCCATTCACTCTTTTGTGGACTTTTCCCGTGTTGTAGTTTCGAAATTTTACGTATAACAGAGCGCTAGAGAAACTGGTAAACAGAAAGTGTGAGCGCCCAGTACTAAGTTCGTTAGTTGGTAGGTGGCCTCCTTGAAAGGCATAAGTGCCGCTCATGTTGCTTTCCTCCTTTCGTCTAACTTCTACTCCATGGTGTTCTATATGTTCACTGAACCTCCATTGTACACGTATTAAGTGGCCTTTGACATCAGAGAACCGTCCGGCGGCCGGTTCGATTTGTTCGCTTTCGAAGTATTCGTTCTTCATAAGCTGGCTGTTCATCTTATCTATATGCAGTCGAACCTTTTTTGGCTGACTTTATTGAGCATCGTCCCTGTTCCACTGACACACTTCGAAATATAGCGATATCGTCTTCAAAACAATGATTTGGTGGGAATTTTCTATCTATATGTATTTTCCTCACGTTCCACTCGAGTGACTTCATTATCCACTTCAATGTATCAGTGAACAGCTTTGGTGATATTGCGGTGCTTTGTCGAACTCCTTTTATTATGGATATAGTGAGGGGCCGGTGAAAAATCCGTAGAGCTGATGAAAAATGGTACACTTGTGCTGCAGTGTGCAGTTTTTGACAATAGTCAGCTAGTATTCGTATACAGGACGGGTTCCACTCCTTGGTCAACTAGAGCTGATAGGATTGCATTCGTTTCGACGCTGTCAGACGCTTTTTTGTAATGGATGAAGGATGGAGAAAGGGAACAGCACCCCGACAGACTTTTGTGACCTTCAATACGCTTTGGATGTGGTCCATGCAGCAGAGCTTTTGTCGGAATCCCGCTTGCTCAACGGATTTCACGTCGTCCGAGGAACTTGATATGCGCAAAAGGATAGTCTTCGTGAACAGCATGTAAGGTACACTCAAAAAGAGAATATTGAACATAGTTATAAGGATTCCTCCGGTCACCTTTCTTGTCTCGGAAGACCTTACCGAAGGTTCTCAAGTGATTTAGGATTGTGTCTTTCTGAAGGAGGTATGTAATGCGAGTTGCTAGAAGTACATATAACTTGTCTCCACCAGTCCCAAAGAAATTGGTGGTGATATGACGACGTTCTCGAGTTGTGCTCTTTTTTATGCTTTCTATCACAAATCGAACTTCAAATTGTAGAATGCTAGTAGGTTTTTCACCAGTGTGGATTTCTAGTCGGATTTGGGTAGCGCAAAAGATTGGCACAGGACGTCCTACTTACTTGGATACTTGGCCTGTACGTCTTCACGAGTTGTGCGGATCCCAGAACATATGCCATTCGTTCCTTTCTCTTGCAATCGCAGGCCATGGTGGTGGTTTTGGTCGAGCACGGTAGCGCTTGCGAATCTCATACCGCGATCTATAAATCAACTGCAGCGGTGGGTATAGCTGATTGCTGATAATTTGTTTACGAACACGTCCGTCCAACGTGTAGGTGGCCGTCCAAGGGCACGTTTGCATTCTCTTGGAGCCCATTCAACTGTTCTTTTCGTCCATCTGTCCCTGTTCTTCTCATTATGTGACCGGTCCATCTATGTTTCGCTATCAATGTACATTCTCCTAGATCTTGAAGATGCGACAGGTTTCGAAGGTCAGGGCTTCGCATTCCGGCTAGATATTGAGAGTTGCGGTTATATTTCAAAAGAAATCGCTCAAGCGCTCTGTGAGTAGTGCGAAGCATTCTTAACGTAGTGGAGATATCAACCCACGTCTCTGCAGCATAACAGACCGCTGGGAGGACCGCAGAATCAAAGATATGAGCGCGGATTTCCGGATCCCTCAGTTGGTCGGTGGCTTCTTTGAGAGGCCCGAATGCGGCCCAAGCTGCTCTCCTTCTTCTATTTCGTTCATGTTGTTTTCCATGTTTATTGATGCCTCAAGGCAAACGTATGAGGTGGTCTCTGCAATCAGAGAGCAGTCTAGTTTATTTGTTTCGCTTTCGCACCATCGGTTTTTCATGAACTGGGTCTTCTTTCGATTTATGCGAAGTCCGATCTTTTTCTCCCTTCATTGAGCTCGTTGATCATCACCTCTGCTCCGCTAGTACCTCTTAAGAAGATGACAATGTCGTCGGCAAAACGAAGGTTTGATAGGAATTTTCCATCAATACGTATGCCTTTCTCATCCCAATCGGGTGACTTCACTATCCACTGCACTGCGGCACTGAATAGTTTTGGCAATATTCGGTCGCTTTCACGAACCCCTTTTTCTATAGGTATGTAACAGGCCGGTGGAAAAGCTGTATTGCCGTAGTTCCACTCTGATAATAGTCAGATAGAGCTATTATGTAGGACGGGTCCACTCCTTGGTCGACGAGCGCTGATAGGATTGCATTCGTTTTGACACTGTCAAACGGTATTTCATTGTCGAAAAAGTTAGGAATTGGGGAGGGCGTTATTCCTGAGATATTTCAGTGACCCACGACACGGTTTGATTGTGCTCCAAGCAGTAAAACCCTTTTTCTGCTTGCTGGACTAGTTGTGCCTCATCCGATGTCCTTGATATGCGCGAGAGGATAATCTTGTGAAGAGTTTTTTTAGAGCACACTCAGTAAACATATGGGACGGTAGCTAGAAAATTCCTTCGGTCTCCTTTCTTGGGCATGTTGACCGTACTCGACGTTCTCCACTGGTCTGGGATTTTTTCCTTTTGAAGGTAGACTGTCGTATGATTTGTGGGAAGTACATGTAAATTGCGGCTTCCAGCTCTAAGGAAGTCGTCGGTAATATTATCGGGTCTTGGAGCTGCACCTCTTTTCATGCTTTCTATCGCAACTCGAACTTCCGAGGGAAGAATTCCTGGTGGTCTTTCTCCAGCGGAGATGCTAGGAAACGGCACAGGGATTGTGGAACGGAAAAGGTTGGTGTAGAATGTGTTGGTTGGCCAGTGGATTAGGGAGTTGGTCGGATTGGTCTTTTGTCTGTTAACTGTGCGTGGAATGCTCGACTTTGTATGAATTCGCCACGCGGGACTTTTTTCCGTAACTGTCTTGAACAACTTCGAGTTTGTATATAACAGTTTATAGCAACAATAACGGTACAATAATAATGTGCGATATTTGACGATATGTAAGCTAGGTGGATAAGAGCGAGATTGAAATAGGAACAAGTGATACACTCTTTAAAGGAAGCAAGGCGGACACTGGAGTTGGAGTACTGAGGAATTGAGCGACCGGAAGAAGACCGGACGAACGCGGCTAACACTTCAGGACGAGCCCTATGAGCTGCCTCTATTACTTCTGTAGTGGGTGGAGCTTTGCCAGAGAGAACTAAAGACAGCGCCCAGAGAGAGGTTCTAAAAGTTTTTCTACTAGCACAATTTGATAGGGGTACATGTGGAAGGGTGCAGGTGTTTCTTCAGAGACTTTTTGGAACGACAGATGCTGAAAAGTACATTCAGCTGACTGCTGCTGATTCCCATTCCAGCCACCTGCGAGGCAATTGCATGAAATGGTTGCTAAGAGACGATTTACAGAATATGCAAGAATAGATGTATGACGATTACAAATAGACAGGTGTTGTAGAAGACATAAGGTGACATAGAAATAGGAACTATTTAAGAATAGTTACTATATAGAACGTTTTCGCTATTAATTCCATATTATCGCAGGAAGTTTTGACGATTCCATCTTTATTCATCAGAGCTGACAGCGGAGCATTATAATTATACAAGTCCCGACGGCATTTTTTCAGACTGCTTCTTTTTTCTGCTGCTTCCAGTATTTTCTTCTGCTCGTACTGATGTAGATCTTCCTGCGAAGTTCTTCTGCATCTGGCATTTATAACTATCCATGTTAAACATGTTGCAGTAGGATCAAGCTTCAGTTTCCTTCTCTTTTCGAGCAACTCCTTAGTAGTGATGGAGATGCGATCCAATCTTCTTGCCTGATGAACTGAGGCGAATCAGGCACAGCTTTTCAGTCCTTCGACAAGCAGCTCGTAGTCTTCGGTCAGGTCTTCTTTAACCTGCCAGTCACGTTTGGACAGGAGTTCGTCCAGAATGTTCTCTTCGTATACAGCTAGACCTTTTCCTCGTGGTCGATGAAGAGAGTTCTTTTCCAGATTGCGGCTGAATCGAATCTTCGCGCGAAGAAGGCGGTGATCGGAACCAATACAGAATGACGGGACTACCGATGTGTCAAGTAGGCACCATTTTCTGTTTGTCAGAATGTGGTCGATCGCCGCATCAGTCATGCCGTTAGGAGAATCACATGTCCAGCGGCGGCTTTCTTTCTTCTGGAAGAACAAGTTCCCATGGGAGAGATGTGCTATTGACAGGAGTTCTGCGAGACAGTTCCCATTCGCATTTCTTTCTCCTGACCCAAAATTTCCGATCCTGTATTCGCTCTCGTTGGCCTTTCCTATTCTGGCGTTGAAGTTTCCAACAACAAATTTGTGATATGCTTTATCATTGCGAATGACTTTCTCCAGCTGATAGTGGAACGCATTGAATTCGTTCTCATCAGATACCTCGGTCGGTAAGTAGCATTTGATGATAGTGATCTTCTTATGATGCGATAGTTGAAGACGGAGGACGGCTACGCGAGGAGAAAGGATCACGTATGAGTCGACGAAATGGACAATGGACGGGTGGACGACAAAGCCTACGCCACCGACATTTCGTAACGGGACCTTTTCCCACGGATCACAAGGGTCCCGTTGTTTAGTTGGCGTATGTCAGTTTTCTTGATTTTTGTTTCTTGTAATGCAATCACATGAAATTTAACGCGATCAGCGGCTACAAGAAGGGCGTGTAGATCGGCGTCTGTGGAGAGTGTTCTGGCATTATACGTGCATAGTAAGAAACAGTCTCCATGGCGTGTCGTGCGTGTGTTCGTCAGATCCGGTTCCGATAACGTGCTGCGTAAACAGAGATTTTCTTGCCTCTCACCGGTCGTCTCACCGCCTGACGAGAAACCGCCTAATGAGTCAAATCTTCATTTAACAGGGCTGATAGGGGAACATTATAGTAGCAAAAATCCCGACGGCACTTCTCCGGACTATATCCTTTTTGAGCTGGTTCCACTAAATTTCTCTCTTCCCTTAACGATGTAGATCCTCCTGCAAAGTTCTTTTACAGCTGGCATTTATTATCAGCAGTGTACGGTGTGTTGCATAGGATCAAGCTCCACTTTCCTTCTTTTTCCAGGCAACTCCTTATTTGTAATGGAGACACGGTCCGAACTTCTCGTTTGAGGAATTGATGCAAGATCTGCGCAAGTTTTAAGCCGTTCGACAGACTAATTTCAGTGCTAGGCCGGATCTTCGCTCATCTGCCACTCATATGAGGAAAGTACTTTCTCGAGGATACCGTCGTCGTATACGATTTGTTTCGCTTTTTTTGTTCTTTTTCAATTTTTGACTCAACCGAATCCTAGATCTGAAACGAAGGTGATCAGACCCAGTACAGAATCCAGGTACCATCGAAGTATTTTCATGAAGAGAAAGTGTTATCTCTTTGACACTTCGGTAGTACACCTATTGAGCGGTAATAATCCGAAAAATGCATATAATTTATTGAGATGAAACTATAGCAAAGCTGCACAATTCTGGAAAGACGATGGAAACATTTTGGTCCTTTCGTGCAGTCCACAGAAAGGAGTGGACCGATAATGATTAAGTTTACACATAGTTACAACTAGTCCCACCAAGAACCTGAGATCTATTTCTGAAGTGTGAATTTACTTATACTTTATTTACAGTTCCTAGACGAAGCAAAATACATATCTAAAGAAAATAAACACAGAAAGACTTCAACATAACTGTAAAATACACGGCGTAATATATATAGTAAAGCCAACATAGATGCCCATAGCTGTTAACTATAACCCGCACTCTTCTCAATATCTCCTGGCATACATATCGTGAATTTGGCTCCATTTTCTCATTCCTCTTCAGCCAAGAACCAATCAGTTCTGTCATCCATCGTGCTATCAAAGCACGGATCAGTTGCATCGCTATCTACTTGGGATTTGAGAGAGTCTGAATCAAGAAAAAGTAGTGACTATACAAATTCAGTAATTAAACTTTAATAAACTGATGTTACATATACATGTGCGCATACTGACATAGGTCCATATTCGCACCTCTCAGAGTAGTCCCAAACTTCTTGACTGACAGACCAAAAACTTCTTCATCAGGTGTTTCATTTATGAATTATTCATTCTCTGCTACGTACATGAGACAAGATGAAAATGAACCACGTGAACTATTTCCAAGCCACGCATACTTTGATTATGACTTCTGAAATACATCCGGAAAACATGACGCCATGTCAGACATCTTATTTCATGCCTTTGACAAATGTTTCGTCTTCAAAACCCACGTGAAATAGATTCATCGAAAACGAAACACATATGGTCCCATTATAGGAAAAAAAGTCACGACACACGAACAGAAGAAGAAGCTATAGAATGGAACCCATGTGGATACACACATACAGCAGAACCACTACTTACAAAAACGACGGAAACGTTTGCAGTTCATACTGAACAGATGTACTCGTAATTGGAAAGAGCTGAATGGGCGCAAAATGATACATCAACATGCCCGAAGCAGACCTTCTCCGTGGACGACGAATTCGTAAGGACGAAAAGAGTGAATACATTCTACACGTGACGATGACACCTTCAAATAACTAAGCAGCCTATGACCATCCATGACAGATAAGACAAGTATTATAAGTAACTTACTTAGTTGGATATTTGGACGGCCCGTCTTCACTGGTTGTGCGGGCCTAGCATACTCTCCATTCTTCGGAGTTTTACTGGTTGAGCCATCGTGGTTCCCTGGAGTCCCGAGGTCAGCCTGGCGAAAATTGGCCCCAGGTAGTCACCACCACGGGAAACGCCGGACCACTTCTCAGCTTGGGAGACCCTGCCGGAGGGATGAATCCACTCTCTGTACTCACGATGAAGCAGTAAACCGTTGGGAGCATTAAAACAACATATTCGACAATTAAACATAGGTCTTGAAAAGAAGCATACCGTTTTCGGAAGCGTCATCGACTCCATCACGAACCTTCTGAAAATAATTCTGTACAGAAAAAATGAATTAGTGAGCGCAAATACTTTCATGTTGGATTTAGAAAGCTATACCAAAGAATTCCTAACACCAGTTTCTTCTGTCGTGTAGCGTAGCTCTGTGCTACCATCCTTGAATACATAACACAGTAGAATAGAGTTGCAAATTTTATGAACCTCCGCAGCCTCATCCTTGCTTAGTTTACCATTCTTCTGTTGTTCGACTAAGCCAAATGTAACATCATACCACGGAGGAAAACTAGGCAGCATTTGAATGAACAGATAAAAAGTAATAGTCCTTACCGATTTCCTCGAGCGTTTCCATAATTGTCCTAGAACATTTGGTATGAGCCTTATCAAGTTCCAGGCATTTCGCCATGAACAAATTCGCAGAAAAAGTTGCACAATCAAGACACACCTCGAGCTGATCCTAAACAACTTTGGTGAGGATTGAAAGGCGTTAACAGAAACGTCCACTCGATGCAATCCATTGTCAGTGAAAAAGATAGGAGAGGATGATGGCTCCATTACCAACACAATTACCTTGGATGGCCCGTCCTCGCTGGTTGTGCAAGCCCTGGCATATTCTCCATTTTTCGGAGTTTTGCTGGTTCAGCCATCGTGGTTTCCTGGAGTCCAGAAGTCAACCTAACGGAAATCTGCCCGCCTTTGTGGATCAGAGGAAGATTTGCCACCATGCGACTAATTCGATACCAGGACGATGGTGGATCCAGGTGTTGGCTTACTATTTGCTGGGCATTTCTAATAGAAATACCGGACACCCTCTCAGCTTGGACGACCCTGGCGGGGTGATGAATCCCCACGCTGTACATCGCAGTGCAACACCCAGGAACACCTCCCAGCCACGATGAGGGGGTAAACCCGTGGGAGGCCATTACCAACAACTATTATATAATACTAGTCAGAGGTGAAATGGCTGTACACACATTGAACGATAACGATCCACAAAAGAGAAGCATACGTTGGGACGCTTCCAGGAAGCATCGGTATGTTGCGGATAAGGAAGGGAACAGTGCGAGCAAACTTGAACTTGAAATGATCTAGGTCGAAATCCTCGTAATATCCACAACGTTTATTTGTCTATTGTGGTACTTTTAAGTCTAAAACTTCTAAGTTAAACACCCACCATTTTCGGATCAACGATGGACGACGCTGCGCTACTGCACCGCTACCGCAAAAATGACAATCGATCGGCGCTAGGGTAGATCAGACCATCATTGACACGTGGCACCACGTCTACTCTGCCAATGGCCATACTTTAGCTTTGAAGTTGTGGATAGCACCTAAGCATAAATCCTGGAATATATTCAGCAATCCAAAAACCAAACTCTAGAAGTAAGAGTCAGTGTTTCAGTTTGATCTACCTGCCATATAGAATTTTATCATGAAATCTGTGCTTTTCACCAGTAAATATGCGGCAACACCCTCTCCACTTGCGAGTTTTTTCCGTTCCTTTTCCATGCGTATTTATTATCTTGGAAAATTCATTGAAAGGATCTGACCCAAAGTTGTTTTCAGCCGAAACTTTTTGCACTTTTGATTTTCGGTCTTTTTTACGTGTTAATTTATTTCTTAAAGGACGCGTGTGGAGCAGTGGTTGGAGGCGCTAGTGCGATACACGTGGAATCGATGCCGCGCCCATGACCCATCATACCCTCCAACACTCCAAGGTCGACAAATTCGTACCAGACTTGTCTGGGAGGATAGCAGCACTGGCTCAATACATCGGTAGGCCACCGCGAGTTATTGTAAAAGCCAGATATGCATTCAATCACCTCCAAACGATGCTTAAAGAAGCCGAATGCATGGCGCACTCCTCAGGGATTGATTCGACGCCAAGAGCTCTATCATTTTTATTTAATTCTATTGTTGCAAATTTTCTGGTTAGTAAATCATTTTTGAACTTCAACTAATGTCTCTTTTTTACCTGCAGACCTCCTTACGGTTTATCGCCTCATCGTGGCTGGTAGTTGTTAGTGGATGTCAGGTTGCGATGTACAGCAGGGGATTCACCCTCTTGCAAGATTTCCCAAGCTGAGTAGGAGTCCAGCGTTCTCATCAGGAAGCCCAGCCAAGAGTAAAGCAATAACAGAACCCGTCACCGTCCTGGTACCAAGCTAGTCGCATGGTGGCAAATCTAGTTCCGATCCACAAGGGCCGCGACTTTCTGTGGTGGTGACGACCTGGAACAGACTTTGGCCTGGTTGACCTCGGAATTCCAGGGAAGCGCAATGGCTAAACGATCAAACCTCTAAAAAATAGAGATTTTGCTGGAACCCGCACAACCAGTAAAGACGGGTTATCCAATTATCCAAGTATTCAAGTTTTTACCAGCAGTCTAGAATATTGCGAACAATAACGGAAAATGAAATCCTTCGAAATTGTTACTTGTTTGCTGTCCTTCATAAACCACCAGTTTTTATTTTAATACATCCTAACAAACTCGAAAATAGCGGGTAACAGCAGTATCAGTTCAGGGTTGGTTAAGTCTCATTCATATCATCTTATAAGCCACGCACATTCCACAAGGTTAACCGATCATTTCTTGGTTGAGTTGCGCTCCTGTGGGCACAAAATGAGTTTGATATACCCATCGCGATATGAGTCAACCTATGGATGAGAGAACCAAAAGCGTTAAGTGTGACCTCATTCTAGCTATGCACAATGAAAGTAAATCTGGTATGCAACAACGAGAAAAGAAGTTCCTATTGTTGCCTCTACGAGTGGTTTGAAAGGTGATCAAAACCGAACAATTTGTGGTTACCTCTGAACAGCAACAATGTATCCAGTGGGTTGTCTTGAGCAGCGATAAAGCAGTGCGTTTACCATTTGGTGCTGATCCTTGTTGTCAGTGAGCAATTATTGGACGTTATCCTCTCATCTGCTTCATTTTTTTTCAGACCTGATGTGTGCTAAGCGCATATCTCTCATAGAATGGTCTCACTGCGGTTTGTTGCGAGCCAACATGATGCACGCTGAGATCGCCGATAGGGGATTAATCGCGGACCAAAAGTGACCAATGGTTCAATGAAACACAGGTGGATCCAGAAGATGAAATCCCTGCTTCGTTGGCCTATTTAGTACATGCTTTCTGCATTTACTAGGACGTATTCGTGCCGTGGGAGGCGGTCAGGAGTCGCCTCCAACAAATAAGTTTCCCCTCTACTCCATGAGAGATTGGCAAACTGCCCGTGTGTGCACTCAGCCTTCACGTTCAGACCTCAGCAAACTATGCGTGGTATCAAATGTTGAACACACTAAAATAAACGGACCTCACTCCCCTGGACTCGAAAAGACCCCTGTATGGCAGCGTTAGGTAGGGCAACTATTAGGAAACTAAAATCTCACAACCATTCTTGGATGCGTTAATCGAGGAATTAAGGAGACTATTTGTATTTGCAGTATACGTTGACTTGTATCTGAACCCTCTATAGAGGACCTCATCACGCAGGTGAGAAGCATAAGGTACGACGTCATCGGACTGGCTGAGAAGAGAAGACTCCACCCATTAAACGCCGTCTATAACACCTAAAAAAAACTGTTTCTCGAAACATAGGATGATAGAGGAGTCGACAGAGGAGGCGTTATCGTCAACACGAGTTTGATCATGGACATCGATTCATTCGAGCAACTAGCAGCACAAACTGGACGTCTACGTTTGAAGAATTGTGGAGCAATAGCGGCCTCGACAACACTTTCTTCTTTACGCACTGACATCAAGTTATTACGAAAACGAAGTCGAAGGGTTCTACATGAAGTTACAGAAGTTCTGTAGAGAAGACCATATATTCTTTGAAGTTATCAATAGAAAGAGATTCCTACAAGAAGATTGGAGCCAGAAGAGCTCTTGAATAACGTCACATTGGCACTCTTGGATTAGGATGGAATGAGCTGTGTGAGCGGCTGTCTGAGTTTATCACGACGACCAAAATCATCCACGCTTACCCGCAATTTCAGAAACCTCACTCTCAACGCTGGACGTTTATGTCTCCCATTAGAGAATAGCACACGAAATAGACCAAACCAGAGTAAATCCAATGCTCGCCCAACCGGTTTCACTGTTGTCCTAAAATTCTGAACGGTATCAGACCAAAGTCTTCTTCGTACAACGTTTCACGTCTCGAAGAAAAGAGAAAAGCTACTAAACTCAAAAGACGAAGTCACAAAATCACCATAAACTGGGATTTATTCGGTTCACTAGACGGCTTATGGGAAGACGCCGTTGTTGATAACAACGACGAGGAACACGATCGTCTCATTTAACATCTTTGCATTAGCGCTATGAAAGCAGAGATTCGAAAGTTAGCAACAGCCTCCAGTCTCCAGAAACACTCTTGCTGTATGTCATCGTTGAAGCGAACGAGCTACTCACTAGTAACGCGACCAGCTCACGTCCGAACTTGCAAAACAGTGCAGACGTACCATAAAAAACTATCTTAAAAGAGAAGAACTCCAGCAAATCTGCCGAATCTGCCGAGAAAATTATTTTAAAAACCAACCGAAGCATCTCCATTTACAAAACTATGATGATGGCATTCCGATGCCTAGGAAGCAGTTGCAGCGTCCAGAAAGGAAATAGAGGAAATCATTTACGAGGACTACTCGGATATCCTCAATAAACACACGCATGCAAAGAAGAAAGGTGTAGCACTCATTTACCTATGTGTTACTATTGCAAGTCATAAGCCAAGACATAAGAATGTCCAAGAAATTAAATTGACGAGTGGTTTTAATGTAATCCGAAATAAAAAAGGAGGTGGTACTGGTGAATAGCAGGATCAGCAGCCGAAGTCCAGAAAAAGCCACATTAAAAATGGGAAACATATTAAGTCACCAGAATAAGTTACAAGAAGAATACTAGTTTGAATCATAATTTTAACTTATTATTTACTGCCCACTCTTCTTTTAACGGCAAGGTATACATTGTGAAATATAACTTCAATGGTGCTGAGATATTTACAAAACTCCGAACCGCAGGTGTATGCGGTGGGGAACGAACGCGCTATTGTCCTTTCTGGGGAGTAGCGCGTTCACCACCACACCACGCGGGTCGCTCGCTTCGCCTGTCTCTCAGCTAGTTCTATCGATAGCAAATATCTCAGCACCATTGAAGGAATACTGGTTTGCTTCTAGAAAGCCATAGTCTGGAAAAGTTTAAGGTATTTTGGAGTTAAAGAGAGGTGATTTATAGACCTGATATGCAAGTACTTGTTTAAGTGGTTGACGAAGTATTTCGTACACACTTGTAGGAGGCTGAGCTGTCCTGAGAACTTCTGTCAAATTATCCGATGTTGACGGTGTTCTCACAATCGAGTGCACCTTCCGACGCCATTTCTTCAAGAGCTGCGAACGCCTCTATTTCTCCCTTTTCCATTGTTCGATTTCTTCTCTCATATTTATTTCTGGAAACATGTTTTTGACGGATGAGGACAACAAACATGTGACGCTAACAAGCCATGGACTCTTCACTTGATGTTGGGGCTCACGATCGTGGAGGTCGAGTTCGTTTCAAATGATGAAGGAATGTATCAGCAACTCTTATCTGCACGGCAGTTTTTTCGCTCGATAGTGCTCGTAATAATAAATAGATCTAGAACAAAAAAATAAGCGATCCCTGTCTCGCTGTCCTTCTGTCCTGTGTCTGTCCCACAGTCCCTGTCTGTAGACTCTCCCAAACAAAATACTTGCTTCCACTATTTCTGGTTCTTCTACTGTGAGTGATTTCATAACAAAATACAGAGCCTTGCAATGCAGAATTATCACCTCAATATGGCATTACATACACTCAGACTTCCAATATTGTGGGAATAAAAACAGTTGCAACTTGTTTCTTGCTAGAAGAACTCGTTTGCCACTGCAACTGCTGTTATCAACAGTAGTAGTTGCCAAGAAGGTTCGTGACGACTTCACCTAGAAATGAAGGCAGGAAAGCAATAAGATTCAAAAATATCTACTATTAAAAAGATATTAAGAAAACCTCTGCGTCGTGATTTAGTGGATCCTCATTGGTTTTTTTTTTGTCAAAAGAGGAACACTGCTCATTTCTTTCAAAATAAAAGGGTTGCAGTGGATAGGGCAGGTCGTCTAGTTCATTGATGCATTCTTCTCTTTTCCATTCCACCTGTCTCCCTATCGTGAGGTAGATGTCTCATAGGACGGTCTCTGCTAAATAGCACAGTATTGGAGAGGGGGCCGTCTAGATTATACTGCCTTCGTGATTATGATAAAATTAGTTTTAGGTTTGGACAGGAATACTCTGCTCACAAGGTATTCGCTCACAAAGTCCCACTTGTTTTACGCTCTGTAGTGACAATCCTTTTCTTCCAAGCTTCGCCACAACATTATAGATAACACTTGGAAAGTCATAACTAGTATTTGCAAATCTTCGAAATACTAAAATAATCCATAATAGAAATGTGTCCTCCAAAGATATACTGCTGGATATGTTCCTGGCAACCAAACCGCGATGTACTGCGGGGAACTGTTTGTTCAGCATGGTCTCGTTTGCTGAAGAGGAGATAGATGTTTCCATAGGAAAACGTAGGCAGGAGTAAACTAGCGCATAGAATAACATAGTCATAGCTCGAGACAGGTGATGAAGTAGAAAGGCCCTAGTACGAATGTCGAGGATCTAGAGAGTGAAATCTTTACGAAACCAGTGAACCACCAGCCAAGTGGAAACTATCCAGCCAACATAACCATCGTGGTTCACGAAGACGTGTCACTCACTTATTCGAATAAAAACACCAATCCATATCCAAACTCTCTTATTAAATTTATTATTTTTTGCTTTAGTTTATTTTATTCATTCTTTTTACTTTTCTTTAATTCATCCTTTTTCTGAAAGCCGCATGAAGATACACTCATACAGAGAAGCGACTAATTTCAGATTAAAGGGTGTGAAGGCAGCAGCTGTGAGATCATCTTACTCCAACAAATTTCTCATTTTTTTTTCCAACATTTTTCCCGAAGACGATACCATATTGACTAAACAAAACAAGATCTGGTTTGCTAGCAAAATTGACCTTGATCTGCTTTGTAATTATGGCACCAAGAAAACCCAGAAATGGGATTTGAGCGGCTTTGATCGCTTGACTACAATTGTTTGACCGGAATGGACAAAATTCCGTGCACTCGATGCAACCTCCTTCGAATTTTTCACAATAAATAAACGATAAAGCTCTCGGTGTTGATCAATCGCTAAGCGATGCGCCATGCAGTCGACTGCATCATACATCATTTGGAACTGGTTGAATGCATATCAGGCCTTTACAATGACTCGCAGTGGCCCATCGATGTATCTAACTAGTGCTGCTACTCTCCCAGACAAGTCTGGTACCGATTTTCCGAACCCGAAGGGATTGAAGGCTTGGTGGGCCATGGTTGCGGAGATCCATTCCAAGTGTGTGTTGCAGTGCGCCTCTGACTACTGCGCCACCCGCCCTTGAATTGTTCATATTTTGCTTACATGTACTGTAAAATTATGCTCAATCGGACACTTTACTTATCCAACAAAAATTCATACAGTACATTGTTCAGTACAGCTTGATATTGGAGAATAGACATGAACGGACCACATTATCACGACGAAGAAGAAGAAATTCATCGTGAAACTTATAAGGGATTCACCTCACCACCAAAAAAAAAACCTGTCGATGTAAAAGGAAAAAGAAGGGAAAGAAACATTTGTTAGATTGCACCAAGGAATCATACCAATATAAGCAATTCACAAGCAAAAATTGAAACGTTCAACAGCTTCATGCCATTCATGCTTTATGAATGCTGCAGAGAGGAGTGCTTCCATTTGCTAAAGCAAGAACATTAGCACATTTAATGTAGTCCTCATTTTAATATATTTAATACGTCTATAATCCATTATAAGCCGATGAAATGTGGGAATGAAGCGCACAAGGAAAATTCACCTGAATAACTTTGTCCCAGTCGGGAAAATGATCACACTCTGGAATGTTTAGCAAATCGCGGACAATTCTCTCCGGCAGCGGACTAAAAATGTAGCGGCTTAAAATAGGAGCAACGTGAAAACAAGTTGGATTTTAAAAGAAGTTGAATAGATTTGCATAATAAAAACAAGTACTGAAAATTCACAAGCTTTTAACCACCAATGCTGTGAAGGAGTTCAAACGTGAGGAACGGCCGATATATTGCACCCGTTCCTCGTTACCCACCAACGGCTTACTGTCTCATCGCGGCTGGGAGCTGTTCCTGGATGCTGGGCTGCCATGTACAGCTAGGGGATTCATCCTCTCAGAACCGCATACCACGCTGAGAACGAATCCGGCATTTCCATCAGGAAGCTCAGGTAAGAATAAACGAAAACCAGGATTCACCACCTCCCTGGTATCAAACTAGTTGCATGGTGGCAAATCCCTCTGATCAACATGAGCGGCGACTGCCTTTGGTAGTGACGAGCTGGAGCAGACTTTCGCCTTGCTGACTTCGTGAATCTAGTGAACCACAATGACTAAACCAGCAAAACTCCGAAAAAATGGAGGCTATGCCGGAGCCCGCAGAACCAGTGAGGATGGGCCATCCAAGTACCCCACGACTCTCCAAATCCTCCTGCCAACCCTAGAAAATCTCACCTACCTTTTAAAACACCGGATAGATGTTAACATAGTGTATTCAACGGTGCGAAATTTTCGTCGAGTCATTATTTCAGTGGATCTCCCATACGGGAGAAAGCTACCGCCTGCTGTCTGCTACGCACTTTATTCTGGATATCGAAAATGGACGTTGACGCAGCAGGTGCAGCTACTTAGGTAATATGTGTAGGAGTTAGTATACGTGATTTCACAACGAAAGTTTGCGAACTAGTTGATTATTAAAAATCGATTGGTTCTTGCGAAATTTTGCAGATCATTTGTGTCGGAGTGCTGGGCCGATACGTTTAATCAAACGATCAGGCATTAGTTAAAATTGAGGCCATACTTCAACGTCCTATACCAAGCTTTTGGTTTATTCAGTAGGCCTATGCAACACTGAGATTTTGCTAATGAATGCACCAAAAAGATAGTAACAAGATCTAAATGTTATGAAAATCCGCATTGTTGCACAAAAACGTAGCTAAAGTGCAAAGTGGGACAAGTGGGGCCGATGAAACGAGCTCAGCATTGACTTGTTGCTGCTGTCTCTCCTATTCTTTTCAATCAGAATTAGGTTCAAGACTCACTTGAAAAGAAAACGACTAATTGCTCGATGGTTCACTAAATGCATGCCCAATCATCCTTGTGAATGGAAATAGGCGTATCAATATCCACAAAATTAAGAAACGTCTCTCTGTGGGCTCCTCACTCCACGCGATAACATGTTGTGAAACCGTAGCTGCCTACACGTCCTGGCGTTATCTGTGTCCGGAGTATCCTCTGGTTTAACAACGAGGCAATGGAAGGCAGATAGCAAGTATAACGAGATGAGTAAAGAGTATGAGAACTCGATATTGTGGAGGAAGGGAAGAGCTGTTGAATAATATAAAACATTGGAGAGTTTAAAGCTTAAAATCCGAACGCAAAAGACGGCATTGATAAATTCGAATGTAAAAATAACGTCCTAGATTATTACGTTGACCAATATAGTAGATAAACTTGTCTCTTTCAGCGTTGATCAATCTCTGCGGAATATTCCACTTCATTAGTCATCGCTCGGAGGTGATTGAATGCATGTCTGGCCCTTACATTAATTCGTGGTGCCTACCGATATAACGAGCCAATGCTCGTATCCTCTCAGACGAGTCTGGTATCAATTTGCCGACGCCGGAGAGATGGAGGGCTTGGTGGGCCAAGAGCGCGGAGATCGCACGTGTGTTGCAAGGCGCATCCAACCACTGTACCACCCGCACCCATATAGTAGATTACCTTCAACTCACAGTCTTTTGTTCGCAGCACTCATGCAAATTCTCAAGTAGCTCGAAATTTCCAAAAACTTCGTCAGAATTTTCACCGAACCTGGAGCTTTTCGAAATAGACGCTAGAAAATAAAACAAGAGTAGAAATGCGTTGTCTCGAAACCATTTCATAAAAAAGATTGGCCGTCGTCAATGTTCCACACGTCTACGATTATCTATCACACACTAAGCGATTAAACACGAATGAAATCAATCTGTTGTACCAGAAAAGATATTCATAGCTCTTTATGACGCTTTGTAGTCTAAACACTCTGTCTATTTTTAGCACCTCGGAGTACTTCTTAAAGAGAAGAACATACGTGTATGGTGTTAACAAAGCCAAAGTAATCAGTTTGGAATGTCCATGGGTGCCCATCCGAAATAACACAAATTGGAAAAGGAAAAACGACAGTTACCAAAGGAGAGCTTTTTTGCGTTAAATCCAATTAACTAGCGGGCTTTACGAAGATAAACTAATATTTTCCATGTAAAATATTAGCAACAATGCATTAATGCACTTGAACGACATGCCCCACCTCATCCGTGCATTTCCTGGAGAATTGAGCACAGATTTGACTTGTCAAGGATTATAAAATGTGTAGAGGCAATTCTCTGTGCTGTAGAGTGCAGTCCCTATTTTGTCATCACATTTTTTTATTGTGTATATGTATTCGAACACTTATATATGTTATACCTTTTTATTTTCTGCCTACTATAATTTCGCGGCAGGGTACTGAGCGAAATACAACCACAACGTTGCTGAGATATTTGCAAAACTCTGGACCGCAGGTGTCTATGGTGGGGAACGAACGCGCTATTGCCCTTTCCGGGGAGTAACGCGTTCACCACCACACCATGCGGGTCCTTTGTTTCGCCTGTTTCTCAGCTATTTCTATCGATCTTTGCCACAGCAATCACCCGTCAGCGGGATTGATCTGGGGCGCCCAAATCGGCATAGAACCTAGTTAAGCTGCGGCTGTAGTTGAAATCACAATGTTATACCTTTTTATTTTCTGCCTTCTATAATTTTGCGCAGGGTACTAAGCGAAATACAACCACAACGTTGCTGAGATATTTGCAAAACTCTGGACCGCAGGTGTCTATGGCGGTCCAGACTTATATATGTTCCGAGACGAGCCGCACTGTGTTGATGATGCCAATCAACATGAGCACGGTTCTGATTCGATTCCGCTCCTGACGCACCAGGCGTCCCATTCTTTTGGGGTCAAAAAATTGGTGGCGCACTTGTCCGGGAAAAAAATCACTTTGCGCAATTTAAGTGGAAACGCTCCAGGTCGGCTATTTCAGCAGTCCAGGGAGGATCGACTAGTTCAGCATTCTGTCAGATTCAAGACGAAAGGAAAATCCTCAAGCAACAGCCGAAGCCACGCCTGAAAGTTGGAGGGCCTTCGTTGACGGTGGAGGCGAGGAAATGAATCGAACATGAGAAGTGCTAGGATGCGCACTGGATATGGGTCGAACCATCTCCGTGCATAGACTACGTTTTTCATAAAGTAACGAATGTTGCCTATCACTTTTCAATCGAGTTCAGATGAACTACAAGCTATTGCTTTTCCTTCCCATGAACTTTCTGTACTAGCAGCTCTAACGGATTGTATTAACTATTGAATATTTTCGGCTGTCGATAAGCCTGCACGAGGCTGTTAAAAATTTCTTCTATGACTTTTGGCGTTTTCTCCTTCATTAGAGCCACTAAGACCCGAGTGGGGTCTCCACAGTCATTGTTTCTACGTAGATTGTCGGTGTTCCTTCCGTCGCAGCAACACGAATCCAGTAGAGTGAAGCACCGCATGAACGGAGTAGCCCTCCCAGCGCTCCCTTTTATTGATCTGGCCTCAGCTCAACCCAGAAGTTCTCAAGGATACGAGATATTCGTCAAACGATTGACGAAAAATGTTATTTGTTTCCTTAGGAAGGTCGAAAGAAGAGAGGAAACTACCGTAGGAGTTAAACAACACAGAAGTCGAGTATTACATGGATCAACATTTTACTTTTCCGAAATACTTCTGTGTAAGCCTCTGGTGTTTTTCCGCCTCAACGAAGTGGATTTTCACCGTTCAAATGTGATATATAGCTGAGCTGCCATCATCAGGATTATGCAACACCACAAAAGCGAGATTTCCATCCGAAAACCAGCGTGCCAGAAAGCGCTGTCGTTTTGACAGAAACTGAACCTACATTGCGATCAAAGCCAAGAAGATAGAAGGAGTTACAAAATCAAACAAAATCACTTCACGATTTCACGGACAACATATCTTCTGAAGGCGAAGAATAACACACAGTGGATTATCAATCTGCCTAACTTGTTCAGTGATATGTAGCTCTTATTAAAGTCTTAGTAACGATTACGGAAGTCAGTCAGATACCCGAAACAATGGCACCTCCCACTTTCACTAGTACTGCCCGAGTAAAAAAAGATTTTGATGACTATTTCTAACTGACAATTTCCGCTTTAAAAAACGTACGCAAAGACTCCGTTTTCTATCATACTTGCAGAAAACGTGGTAGGACAGTGCAATACCATTTTATGTCTCCCGTTCGCTGCCGAAATGGAGTGGATAGTCGTTTAACTGGGATAAAAGGGAGCAACAGAAAATCTCTATCAAGTTTCCGTCCTACCAACGTCATCGTATTTTTGTGAAATACAATAAAGTAAGGGCACGAGGGCCAAGGTGGAAACGTTAGGAAAGCACCGTCAGCATGATTGTAATAGGAATTGGTTGATTGTCTCACGATCCATATTGTAGTGGCCCCGCATAATATTTCATTGTCTGTCAAGGAAATGAACAACATAAATAGATCGCGCTAGCCTAGCAGCATTTCAAAGCAGTAAGACTTCTCCGTTTCCACTTTTCAGTGAAAGTATGACCGGATAATACGTACATATCGATCGCTTTGCTCCAATCGATAAACCTCAGAAATGGTGTGGAAAGGATCTGCTGTGTATCAACGCAGTATTCCAGTCTAAACATTGATGGCATTGAATCAAAAATGGATCAAAGAGCAAGGAATACGGAGCTAACCTATTGAGGGTTAAAAAGTTGTCAAGCTGGACATGTCCATGAATAATCCTGACACTGTGAATGTCACGGAACATTTTTGCGATCTGTATCGCAATTAGGAGAACGATGCACCAGCTTGGATTCCGTATTTCGTTAGAAAGATCCTGTAAGAGGCTGACATCTTTGACACACATATATGAACAGTTTCTGAGGTGAAAGGTCCGTCGTAGTTCTACAAAAACAGGCAAAATTTTCCAATAGAGAATTTTTTAGACCTTATCCTGATTATTTACCACTAGGAACCCTACTAGTTAGTTTCCCTGCCTTTTAACACACCCAAAGGAACGTCCCTTTAGAGCTACGTGGTGCGAAAATAAAGGCATCTTCTAATTCTTGACCAACTTATTCTACCCCATAGTGAAATATATTAATTAAAACTAAAACTACTAGAGCAAGCACATTGTTAGCAATAAGGTCCAAGTTTTATCCTGCAACCATGAACTTTTAAGACAACAATCTAGCGTTGGTTTCTACGACTGTTAGTGTGCGTGGAAAACTTGAACTGTGTTCACCTCCGTATTCGATTGTTGAGGAATATCAATTCTAAACAATTCTGGAATTAAAAGAACGGCTTATAAAGTATTATATATAGTCTCAGTGGAGTGGACTCAAGGAGAATGCAGGCGTCCTCTTGGAACACCACCCGAACCGTGGGTTGGTGTGTTCGTGGCTAACGTCATCCATCTGCACTCACAGGTGGCAACGATTTCAGGATTACAAAAAGGACCTCGCGTACGACAGCAACTTAGCAGCGGATCACCATCATAAACGAAGAGTGCTCGAGAGAGAAACGAATGGAAAGTATCCTGGAACCCGCACCACCAGTGAAGACGGGCCATTCAAGTATCCAAGTAAGCACACATTCCTATGAAGGTGAAGCAAAAAATTTTTCACAGCTACGTAGTTCTCAGCTCCTAAGTTGTTACATTGATGGGAAAACTCTCTTTCTCGTTGGTAAATGGGTTTCGTCATTAATTTCTTAATTTTATGCGGCCATCAACTTTTTTTAAGTTTATTGCCTTTTAACGTTCGCAAGATGACGCTCAATATTGTTCCACAGTATACTGGATCTAGGCCCATTTTTCCATCTTTGTGGATCTGCTGGCTTTTCGATAACAGACGAAGAGCCCTTCCTGTATTGATCTATGAGATTGATCGGTGTGGATGTCAACATTTGGAAGTGTTTTGCAGTTTATATTTAGTGGATTTCTGTACCTTTCATGCTCAACCATCCGACTAGGATTCGCCATACCGATTGATTGCCACCCTGCCGAATCCTCTTCCTTATTGTTAGTGCAACTGTTTCCTTTTTAGAGCATCCCTCCTGGTGACTGCATTAATACTTACGCTGTTTGCACTTTAGCAAACCTAATCGCCCTGCTGTCATAATCTCAGTTGCTTGTAATAACATTTCCTGTACCACATTGTTGCGTTTTATATCACACTCGCATATCATACCACGCCACCAGCCCACGGCAGAGCTGCCCTCTCGCCTCAAGGGCAACCTCTCACACATCGTCTTGCCCTTGTTTACTCATCCCCATTATCGCCGTTTCGCTTGTATTGCCTCAATGTATCGTTATTGATCTAGTGATGTTACTACTGTATATAAAGGATGATGACATAAGTTTGAAGATTGCGGCGGTACGGCGGATAGAAGATCCCCATGGCAATAATGGAAAGCCAAGCATATCAGTCCACTCTCTAAGTGACACTAGGTGCAGAACAGAGCTTTCTCTTGCTGGTACCGGCTATACATCTGTCGATTAATTACGACTGACGTAGAAAAAGGCCTTCTGTACCAAATAAACCATCAGAAAGAAAATGACCTCTGTAGAGGTCATGCCGGCCACAGCACTACACCAGCTCGAAACAAATAATTCCTATAGAGGCCATTTTGCCTCATAAGTGTTAACATATGTATGAATCACTTTAAATACGAACCTAAGTGTAAAAATTGCGAATATCATGAAAACTAAAAGATAGATGTTCCTCAAGGAAAGGTGACAACGTACAAAGAGAGTTCTATAAGGATGATATTCACCAGAAATCATAGAAGCATTAGTGAACAGGTAAGCTTCGGTACCCTAAAAGATGTGTATTTAAACAAGCATGAAACAGGGGTGTGCAACCTATGACGAAATCAAACTCTTTCTAAGCAGCCAATAACCGCCATCAAGCTATCCAAAGCAAATTTTGTGGCTTTCTCTAAACGCTTTCTCAGTTCAGAGCATATGTAGGCTTATCATGGGCATGTGGAGATATTATACTGAAATTATCAAGGACTTCAACGGCGTAATAAAAAATCGATAATCATAGAAGCCGAACGACTTCTTGCCTGTAACGCCTGTGTTCGTCTGTCTTCTTCTATTGTTTTGTACACTTTGGTAAAATGTCCTTGACCTATGAAAGCGATTGCTTTGAATAATCTCCCACCAAAAATTACCGTTTTTCCAGTGAAAACGCGTTGGCCTGCCAACTAAAATCTACCGGTAAAACATGGTCAAAAATAAAAGTACTAAGTGATTTGTTCAAGAAATCTTGCATCGAGTTCGTGTAGATAACAAGACTTGCGACTTCCTTTGAAGACTTCCATTTGTAGTTGTTCACCCCAAGAGTTCACTATACTGGTCTCGGCTTGTCTGTAAATCACTTGTTCCAGAAAGATCAAGGCATGTCTAAGTGACCTTGTGGAAATTCTGATCGCGTACAGTGGAAGTACCACTCCACTTTTAATGTGGTCGCCACAATCACTCCTATTCACTTCGATTGCATCTTCTGAGTCTCCCAAATTAATTGCATCTACCGCTGCTTCCATAGAATGTTCGGCATCCTAAACTGGCTTAGTTTTGAAGAGAGAACGCTTCGTTACATAGATGGACTTCGGTGACGCGACAGAACGATATCAGTAAAATAGTACTAATAACCATTCTAAAGTCCACAGATAGTTGACTATTAGGGCTATTCTCACCTTAAATGAAGTTGGAGAATACAGGACTTTTTCAACTTTCCCTTTCCTCATCTGCTCTTCCAACTCCTTGCTAAGTGACGAAAAGAAATCTAGAACAGGTATCTCGCACTCCAAACAAGAGAAAAGCTCTAGAAAGTCTTTCGGCTATCAAAATCGACCTTCATAAGGTAGCGGCTCAAACGCGCGGTCAGCGGGAGTTGAGGTTACTGCTCCACTTTCCGGTTTCTCATCTATTCTTATGGCTGAGTCCTTCTCTCCCGACATGGATTTTTCTTCAGCTGAAATGATTAACATGAACACAGCAAAATACGTTACATTCTACAACAGCAATTTTCGCATGAATTCTTCTACTTCGACTTCAAAAAAGTTATTCGAATCAATGTGAGACAAGTCTGATAACCTTAATCAAAGCAGCTCACTTCCTTCGTCTAACAGACCTCTCTACTAACAAAGTCTCAACAGCGCTTGTTTCAAATAACTGTGAATAAGTTATTATTAACTAGACCGATCAGACTTGAGGTCTCAACAAAACAAGCCATGAAATAGACTTTGTCTTGTCTCTTTTCTTCTTATTTTTATACTTTTAGGTTAAAAGGATAAGGATAAAGCTGTAGGCGTTGATCAATCTCTAAAGGATCCGCCATGCATTCGACTTCATTAAGCACCGTCTGAAGGCGACTGAATGCATATCTGGCCTATATAATGACTTGCGGTGGCCTACCGATGTATCAAGCCAGCGCTGCTTTCCTCCTAGACAAGTCTGGTACCAATTTTGCAGGCCTGGGGTAAGGAAGGCTTGTTGGACCACGGACGCCGAGATCGATTCCACGTGCATGTTGCAGGGCGCCTTCCACGACTGCGCCACACGCGCCCACATTTAGGGATATGTATACAAACATATATATTCGAATTTTAAAATATTGCCCCACTATGCGTAAGCCAATGAAGTGCCGTTTGATACACGCTGCTTTACTAGCCTAAAAGCAGATCATATTAGATGACGGCAATAGGTCAACACACGACCTGTACGAAAAAGCACTCCTTAGTAAAACTTCTCATTTGAGGTGTTCTTCCTCCACTGACTGATAAAAGGCAGCCCGGAGCACCTATAAATCGGCAGCAACCAACTTGGAACCTTAGACAGGGATCACCGTGACTCCGAGGATGGAAAAAGCGCTGAAGCTCCGGCGGAATAAAAGTTTTATACCAAACTTGTGTCATTGTGTCAGCTCAATCATGTAAGAAAATTATTGAGCGTTGTTACAAAGATTTAACAACAGTCGATTTTTAAGATATATATATATATATACATAATTACAACGATGCTGAGATATTTACAAGACCCTGGACCGCAGGTGTCTGCGGTGGGGAACGAACGCGCTATTACCCTTTCTGGGGACTAACGTGCTCAAAACCACACCAAGTGGGTCTTTCGTTTCGCTTTCCTCTCAGCTAGTTTTCTATCGATCAGTGGCATCAGCAATCACCCATCTACGGGATTGATCGGGAAGCCCACATCGGCATTGAATCTAGCTAAGCTGAGGCGCTGGTTGAAATCACAATGTTTACTTTTTTATTTGCTGCCTACTACAATTTTTTATGGCAACGTATTATGGTGAAGGACTCGCATGGTGTGCTGGTGAACGCGTTATCCCTCGGAAAGTGTAACAGCGCGCGCTCGTTCCCCACTGCAAACACTTGCCGTCCGGAGTTTTGCAAATATCTCACCATCATTGTGGTTTTATATACATATATATATATATGCATAAAATAAAGCTCTCGGCGTTGAACAGTCCCTGAAGGATGCGCTATGCATTCTACTTCATTAAGAATCATCTGAGGTGATTGAACGCATATCTGGTCTTTACAATGACTCTCGGTGGTCTGCCTGTGTATCGAGTTCATGCTGCTATCCTCACCGAAAAGTGTGGTACCAATTCGCCGTCCCTGGAAGGATGGAAGGCTCAGTGAGCAACCGGCGCGGTGATCGATCCCATGTGGTGTATTGGGGGGCGCCCCCGACCACTGAGCCAGACCTGCCATATATATATTTATGTATTCATATGTAGAGAGACACATATTTATATATGTACTGGCTCGTGGAGGCGGCGTAGTGGTTAATGATGCTGTCGACCAAGAAGCAAAGGCGCTCGTTTTAGCGCTTGCTGATGGTGCAATGTGCAAGATAATTTTACATCGAAACCATCGGGAATCGGTGGTGCGGTGCGCAATATGTGAACTTCAAAAAAGGTAACGGAGGTTCGATCTAGAAAGAGGTCCAACTTTTGCAAGTATTTCAGCATCCTTGTGGTTGTTTTTCACATAATACCTTGCCGCGAAAAAATAATGGACATTATAAGCTTAACTGGGTTCAGTGCCGACTTGTGCTTCGTTCCCACCGGAAGGTGATTGCTAATTGTGCCTTTAGGGTAAGAAAACTGGGTCAGAGAAAGGCAGAAAGAGGGCCTCAGTGGTGCCATGAGCAACCCGTGAGCCCCGGGAAAAGGCAGTGAGGAATATAGTTCTTTGAAATTCTAAACTTGAAAGACTCATGGAAGAAACGCTGCTTTACCGTTCTAATGGTTTGCATAACTGTGAAACGTGGTTTTAATCCGAAAATTGTTTAAATTTGTGATTTCCGGGAAACTTTCAATGAAAGGGTGGAAAACATATACTTCTCCATCCATGTGCTTGAAGCATTCCTGCTAATATGCTGAGCCGTAGAAAGCATGCTACGACCTTCACCATCACTCAAAAGCTCTGAGTCCCATCCTTCCACTGTTTTTCAAACCCTGTTCTATTTAGAAAACTGTAAATTTTGACTAAAAAGAAGATTTACGCAAAATCAAACGCCTACTAAGAACAGCACGGACCACTACCAAATTGTTAAGAAAGGAAATGCATTACTGTACCTCATTAACGCTCGCTAATTTGGATTTTGGACGAAACATTTACAGTCGGTTCCTGCGAAGGAATGCAAATTATTTACTGGGCATAAAGTTTGGAGGAAGAACTAGTAAAAAGGCAAAGGCGAAAAACCGTTGAAGAAACATGTCGACTGCAGCGTTGAGATGTCCATGGAGGTATGAGAGATGTCGAAAAGTGTTTCCTCGTCGGCAATCAAAGCCTCCCTCAATTCCTCGATTGAAGGGCAACATAGGAGTCGTCAGGACGATCAACGAGCACGTATCGCAACATTATATGTGCTTAAAGAATTTTGTACAAAAGTCCAGAACAAGAAGTGCCCGAAAATTTGTTGGCATAGGTTAAATATGGAAAAAAGAACCAAAGATGACACACTGTTTGGGCCAAAATTTGGAGTAGCAGCATCATCTCTAGGATTGTACATCTCCATAGCTTTGTGTTTAATCCTTGCTAGAGATGAAAGAAGGCGGTCTACAAGACGGTATTAAGATCAGCTCCAGATTTTTTTAGATAGACGGGAGACTTTGCTACAGACTAGTAGAATCAAGTTCAGCATCAGACATTAAACAAACAAGAGACTTTCGAACACATTATTCTCCGAAGACAAAAGAACGAAGAAGACGTCGAAACGTTAGCCGAAAATAAATACCATTATCAACCTCGTGTTAGCTCATCAAGGAAAGAATACATTATTCTTCCATATTTTTCTCCAATTTCGAGTCTACGTCGCCTTTGGTACAAAATTCAAGATCCTCATCATCTTCAGAAATTTTCTTGTTAGAGAAGCACTGATCCGGACTTTTATGTTATGGCAGCACTACGTGCACCAATGATGTTACTCTAGAACAAAAATCAGAAATTACCTGAACGGCCTTTCCAGCTCGAGTACAGGGATGGCTTTAATACGACAGCGGACCAAAAGTAGTGCATCCATAAACCGGTTGAAATCACCACCCTGAGCATAAATTTCACCCCACATAAGGTAAAATTTAAGCGATTGCTGGAATCGTACCCACTGCTCCACCATTTTAAATCCCTTCGCTGCTCTCATGCTCTCGCTGTGCTTGGCCTTAACGAGAAACTTTCTCCTGAGATCATGCGGCTCCGTCAACGACGAACCAATATTTTGTACAACCGCAGCATATCGCAGCCTTGATAGCTTTCTCCTTTACTGCTGGCGGGCATGTAGAGCTCCCGAGCTTCTAGATTTCTGAAATTAGTAAAACATTACTGCTGCTTCGATCCCACTCCGAGCTCACAAAATATCTCATCTCTCCGGGACCGGGATTTTACTGGAGCTGTCTAGGAAAAGTTAACTCTCTGCGTTCTACTCCGGCTATCTCAGGACTCCAACGGGAAGCAACTCGTTTCATGAGGAATTGAAAATCCTCAAGCAGCATCCGAAAATATACGCAAAAGGTTGGAAAAACTTCGTGGATGACGGATGCGAGGTAACGAAGAGAATTCAAAGTGTTCTGGGATACCCATAGCAAATGTAAAAGATTTGCAGTGTAAAAAAAATAAAATGAGAGAAAATTACTTACGCGCAGATCAACTTTAGACCTTGACGTTCGGTTTCTGGAACAACTCTCTATAAAGGAAATCTGTATAGTAAAAAAAAATGAAACGACGTATAATGCTGCACAAACTCACTTTAGGAGCAGACTTAACGAGTCCATAATGCCTTTGGGAAATCGACGTTCGTAACAACAGTGCCTAAAAGAAGCCAGAAACAGGATGAAATTATCCACGGCTCACCCTACTACAGTGACGTAACATGAAGATGAAACCAAAACAGTCCAACACACTGTACCCAATGTAGTAACGGCTGAAAAGCAAAATGTCGAATTTTTGTGTAACAAGATGCACAATGTCTAGTGCATTTGTCATCGGTCTACCTCTAATTTTATGCCCAGCTTAATATCAGTGCGATGTAAACTATTCTCTTAGTAGACATTATGATTTCAACTACAGCCTCAGCTTAACTGGGTTCAATGCCGATGTAGGCTCTCCAAATCAATCCCGTTGACGGGTGATCGCTTATGGCACTGTTCGATAGAAAACTAGCTGTGAGACAGGCGAAACGAAGAACCTGCATTGTGTGATTGTGAACGCGTTAGCCCCAGGAAAGGGTAATAGAGCGTTCGTTGCCCACCGCAGACACCTGCGGTCCGGAGTTTCGTAAATATCTGAGCATCGTTGTGGCTGTATTTCGCATAATACTATGCCGTGAAAAATTGTAGTAGGCAGCAAATTAAGCATCTTCGCTTAGTATTTTTGTCATTGGCAACGCTCACCGGAATACCCTGTCTGCAGGGAGGGATATCGTACCAATAAGACTGTATAAGATGAGTCCATGGAAATGAGCAAAAATAACTCAGTAACTAAGAATTCGGCCGTATATACCGGCTTGGATCACACGTAAAGACGTCTTAACATGAGCGTCCTCGCAAACACAGGTATGTGTCAAGTAGGCGCAGCAGAAACAGGGAATCAACCTCCTGGATCCACCTGCTTCTAAGGAAAGCTAACCTACTTTCGACAGTGAATAACCCTTTGTCCACCAGCTGAGAACACGCCACGTTGACACGCGACTAACTGGCATGAAATCCTTCTACCAAGTATAACCGTCTAATGAAATAGAGCACATCATAGTAAATCGAAGGTTCTGCCTAGCTGATGTTGCTGTTGTTCCAAAATACAATACTGGACCAACCATCGTCTTCGTGTAAAAATCCATTTCTCGTGAAAAGAGGGAAAGCTAAAATATTGAAGAGCCGAAATTCTATAACCACTATGAACTGGGATATCTTCAGATAACCAGTCCGCTTTTGGGAAAATACCATTATCGCTATCATAGATAAGGATGATGACCGACGTAGTGAACGTCTTCACGTTGGCGCTGTGAAAGACGAGAGTTCCAAAATTTCAAAGAGACGCCTTTTTCGAGAAACGCTCAATCTAATGCTCCACCTTGGAATAGCAAGAGCCAAAGGAGACGCCCACTGGCGTCTGAACTTGTAAGGCAACGTGGAAAGGCGATGAGAGAAGATCTTAAGAGAGTAAAGCAGCAGTAATGGGTGAACCTTCAGAGCTTGGTAAGACCGTCGTCAAAGCTTTTTCAAGCTTCTCTATTTGCCATGTGAGGCAATCACAGTGACGGGAAAGATAATCTGTACGAAATGTGGTGATCTCAGTTTCAGTGGATTATTCTTTTTTTTCGCCACTTCTTTTACTCGCCTCGTCATAGTACATCCTTCCAACGGTTTACCGTCCCATAGTGGCTTGTTCGGCGGAGGGATTCATCTCCCAGCAGAGTCTCCCAAACTGAGAACGAGTCAGGCATTTCCATTAGGAAACCCAGCTAAGAGTAAACCAAAACCTGGATCCATCACCGTCCTGGTATCAAACTAGTAGCGTGCTGGCAAATCTCCCACAAAGGTGGCGATTGCTAGTGGTGGTCTGGACGATCTCCTGGACGAGACTTCCGCCTGTCCGACCTCGGCAATGCATGGAACCACGGCTGTTAAACCAGCAAAACTCCGAAATAGTGATGAGATTATGCTGGCGCCCGCACAACCAATGAGGACGGACCATCCAAGTGTCCACTTAGGATAGTACATAACAAATACGATGTTCCATCGTCGCCGAAACCTTTGCTAAGGCATATTTTCAAGAATCAATATTTTACAAAAAGCAATTTATCGGACGGGATTGTTTTTTGGTAAGAAGCAGTTGCTGGTTACAGAGACTATTTTATACCATCCCTTCGTGATTCAGGCATTCTAAAATGGTCCTGAGATTTTAGCAGCCTCTCCGTACTCGTCTTATTCAATGCTTCCCTATTGGGTCCGAGTGTCTTAAAAGGAAAGTGTTTCACGCTGAAGTCGTTCGCATTCTACTGACATAGCACAGAAAGGCTAAGTGTGCATGTCGTGCCTCGCATCGTATGTAGGAGACAGCGACACTCTACTACCCAATCTACTCAGTATCAATCACCTTATCACCAACAACAGCAGAAGCCGACATCATACTAGCTTGATACGCCGCTCATCTATCACAACAACAACCAACTTACGAAGCACTGAACTCTATTGCTTCCGCGTCACATATAAACCTCACCTCGTGTGGTGAATCCAGTTATGTTAATAATCAGCATAATTATACACTGTTTCAAAGTTATACAATATACATAACGACATGGAGCTGAAATCAATTGATATGTTAATTTCCAGGACCGGCTTTATGTTAACCTAGGCATTAATAAAATTATTTATTATTTTTATTTTTATATTTTTTATATTTTTCTTTTTCAACAAACACAAGGTTTTATTTTATACCTTTATTATGATGAAAATCACGTTTATGCAGATTTCGTCCTCCTCAAAGATTTGAAAGGTTAGCTTGACTGGAATCTACTCAGCCAAAGACTTCCATAACGAAACAGAGAAAGTGCTAAACCAACATTTCAACAGCATTGAAAGCAAAACAACTTCTTATCACCCTCAACGCTTTCTATTAGTCTTCCAATGAGTACGTCAAGTGGGGACCAACCGTGTAGAGTTTACATGGAAGCGTAATGTGCCTACCATGCTAAAATAATAGTCTTAAATACTGTATGATGTTTAACGTGATTAAAAGGCATTCACCCTTGCGGTTCAATTGATTCTTGAAAATCGTCCAAAACGCCTCGAGAGTTTTGTGCGTTGATGTTTTCGATTCTTGTGTGACTGTCGTAACACCTACTTCAAAATCTTCCATGTTATGTCTCTGTGTCCTGTGGACACCCAGTGGAGCATTTGGTTTACCTCTAAGTTTATCGACTAGATGCTCTTTTATACGGATAAAGAGTGGTCTACACGTTTCGCCTATGCATTCGTCCCCGTACGCTTTACAAGAGGTTGAATAAACCGTACCCGAACTCATGCAATCACCATCTCCACCGTTAGAGTAAATTATGCAATTCTGCCTTGTACATAGACGGTCATGCAGGCAGTTGCGAAATAGCTGGCAGCTTAAAGTGCTTGGTAGTACCTCAATTTCTGTTACCGATTTCTGTAGACTGGCCGGCACTTCTTAAGCAACATTTTATGGCTGCACTTATTCCTTCTGAGATGAAGGAAGGGCAGGATAAACGGGACGTTGTTACCGCCATAGTTGTCGTTGGGAGGCTTCAGTTTTTATCTGCACCTATTCCGAAAACCTAGAATTTCATAGCCATTAGATATGGCTATTCGCCGCGCCAATTTCCGGCATTACTCCTTCCGCTCTTTTCCTGTGCGCACACTCGTGGCTGCTCGAAACGTGTTTCTTACTAGCGCACCTTTCGTGTGTGAGAATGGCGAGAATAAAAGGGCAGGTGGTGAACCACCACGTTTTTACTGCTTGGCTTCAGATATTATTTCGTAATGTAGCAGTAAAATAAGATCTGATCTCTTGAAGAACCTTCCGCCAGTCCTCGTAAACACACTGGCTCGGCTCTTCACACGTTACCTATCTGAATCCAAGGTCTCTACTCAGTGGAAGACAAGCAAGACCGTGCTAATGTTCAAGAAGGGTGAACTCCACGATATCGGCAACTATCACGCAATCTGCTTGCTGTCTGTCGTCTACAAAACAATGGAAAGCACTAAAAAACAAAAACTTTTCACTCGAGTCGTCCTAAACAGGAGTGGCAGAACACTGGACGAAAGCCAGCCATGTGAGCAAGCAGGATTTCGAAAAGGATTCAATAGGATGGTTCACATCCACACGATAACAAAACATAGAAGTATTGCGAGAGTAGAGTAGACTATGTAGAAATTGTTCATGAACTGTGTAGAAATTTCACAACCAAAACATCACCATTCTTCAACGATGTTAACATTGACGTCAAAAGAGGGTTAAGCAAGGCGAAACCATCTCGCTAAAATTATTTACCGCCACACTCCAGAACCCTCCAAAATTATTGAATGAACAGCTTGAGTATATTAAATTCACCCGAGAGAAACGGAAGCAGAAATGGCTTCCATTTCTTAACGTTCAAACCAACTTATCAAGTAGCGGTTACATGACAAAGTGGTACCGAAAACCAACAAAAACATCCTGGTACATTACCCCTTTTCCCTCCCTTCACACACCAAGAGGGCACTTGTAAGAAACATGTTTCGAACAGCCACCTCTGAGTGCACAACCAGGGAACTAAAGGAAGAGTCGCGTGACTTGGCCCGGCAAATAGCCATCTCCAATGGCTAAGAAGTAGTAACCCCACGAGATAAGTTTAGAATGACAGCGACGCGCCCAAGCGAAACACATGGCCAAAAAAAGCTCCGTTTATATTGCCTTTTATTAGCGATAAAGTAAGCGTAGCAATTAAATGATGCTTAAAAAGGGCAGGTCTAGAGGAATCGGTAGCGATAGTTGAAATACCACCGGCTACTCTACGTCGCCAATTAGTTCGTAACCGCCTGTATGACCCTCTACGTGAAACAACAAATTGCGTAATTTGCCCTTACGGCAAGGACGATGACTGCATGAGTTCAGGTACGATCTACCTGATCTCTTGTAATAATTGCGGAGATGAATATATTGGCGAAACGGGCAGACCTTTGTGTATCCGTATAAAAGGACACCTAGATGGCGAACGAAAACTAAGACGAAGTACTCCACTAGGCATGCATAGGATACAGAAGCATAGCGGAGACAATTTTGAAGTAAAAGTCAATATCCTCGCACAGAGACTAAAACACCAGCGCGAAAACTCCTTGAGGCTTTTTGGATAAATGCCAAAAACCTACAATGAATAGCAGGGACGAATGCCCGGAGGTCATACGTGGCTTGATCCCGTATGTTCGCATCGATTTCTGATGTGGGATGGTGCAGTCGTCCACCACATGCGACTATAATCAGCTGTTCTAAACCTCCTCATTGGAAGTCACAAAAAGGCGGTGGGTTTTTCGAGAAGCTGTTGATCATGTAATTACCAAAGAGTCTTTCGTCTTTTTGTCAGTGTTATTAAGGTGTTTGGCCTAGTAGATTGTATATCAGTATACCCTTCCAGACTCTGAAGAAGGCGATGCTGCCGAAACGTCAGCCAATGTTGTATTGTGTTGTGTTTTTCTATGGAAGTAAATGTACGTTGTTTGACAATCTCATGATTTCTGAACGAGAAAACTATGCCGAGCTTACTAGAAAGTCGATCTTGGGTTTGCATAGATTTGAAATGTACATTTACGAGCATACCGAATTGAAAAGTATAAAAATATAACTCGTATGAAGTGCTGAGATATCTGCAAAATTCCGGACCACAGGTCTATGCAGTGGAGAACGAACACGCGCTGTTGTCCTTACCGGGGAGCAGCGCACTTCACCACTACACCTTCCGGGTCCTTCGCTTTGCATGTATCTCAGCTAGTTCTATCGATCTTTTTGCCATCAGCAATCACCCGTCCGGAGTTTTGCAGATATCTCAGCACTTCATACGAGTTATATTTCACAACATACCCTGCCATTGAGAAGAAAAAGGCAGTAAATAAAAGAGTTAAGATTATAAAAATATACTTCTAAATGGTATGTTTGTCAACAACAGCAAATTCTCTCGGCTTGGAAGCTTTATTTTGACTTTTCAAATAACAATTTAAATCGAACTGGAGATGTCGGTAAATTTATTACTCAAGCAAAATAACAGTTTGCGAAACAAATTTAAAATGATCTACAGGGTTTCTCTTACAAAGAATGTTTTCCATCCGTTCCTTTAAATTATGTGAAAGGACGACAAGTATAGAACTTATTAGGCACTCAAAACAATCTCAGTTACTATAATACCCTATTTAGAAAGCCAGAGATCTGTAGAGAGTCTTGATGCTCGTTTTTCAATTCGTCCATGGCTCCGATACTCTCACGAATCTCCCTCTCCACGGTTTCATAGTCTTGCCCGTGATCTTTCGCGTCAATGTCGAAATTCAGACTCTTATATGGACGCTGTTTTTCGTAAACGGAAAAGTATTGCGGCTGCTTTGGTCTTATTATTATGGGTTCTTCTGGAGGACGTATGATCGGTTTCGTTGGAAGATCCATCGTTTCGGAACCATGAATCAGCCTAAGCAGTTGGTCCGTTGTTAGATCTTCGGAAGTGATCGATTTCCATCGTCCTCTGATGCTTTCACGATGTGCTTCGTTGTTCAACGAGCGGATCGTCACCATAGGCGAATACGTCCATAGAGAAGCTCCGTGTTTATTTGCGGCCGCTACACAGCATACCACGGATAGTGGACCACGAGGCAGCACAAAACGCTCATCCACCTCTGTTATTTCGTCGACAATCTCTTTGTCGAATATGGTCACCACCTGGAACAGATGAGACTTTATTTAAAATTAAGTGAAATAAACACCAGAGAGACGAAGTTTATTTAAAAATAAAGGATAAAGCTCTCGGCGTTGATCAATCCCTGAGGGATGCGCCATGCATTCGACTTCATCGAGTATCGTTTGGAGATGATTGAAGGCATATCTGGCCTTTACAATGACACCCGGTGGCCTACCGATGTATCAAGCCAGTGCTCCTATCTTCTATCCTCCAAGACAATTCTGGTACCAATTTGCCGGCGCCGCAGGGATGGAAGGCTTGGCGGGTCATAGACGCGGGGATCGATTCCACGTGCGTGGTGCAAGTCGCCTACTACCGCTGCGCCACACGCGCCCAAAGTTTATTTAGACGAGTAAAAGGTCAGAAATGGTGTAACATCCTTCCAAAAACATTGTGGTAGTAACTGACTTTTACAATGTCATCTCATGCAAACACTAATGGGAAAGTGCCGTTTAGTTACAGCTTACGGTAAACCTTACAGTGAATCAGGAAATTAATGTTGACAAAGAGATGAATAAAACTAAGACGAGACGAATGATAAGACGAATAGATAATCGGCGCGTATGGCGCAGTGCTCGGAGGCACCCTGCAACAGAAACGTGGAATCGATCTCCATGCCCATGGCCCACTAAGCCTTCCATCCTTCCGGGGTCGGCAAATTGGTACCAGACTTGTCTGGGAGGATAGCAGCACTGACTCGATACATCGGTATCTCACCAAAAGTCATTGTAAAGGCGAGATATACGTTCGATCACCTCCAAATCATACTTAATGAAGTTGAATGCATAGCGCATCTCTCAGGGATTGACCAACGCCGAGAGCTCTATCCTTTATCCTTTACAATACTGTAAGCAACTATTACTCAAAAGTTGTGGTGGAATGGTCTAGAAAAATGCAAAAATTACAACTACTTTTTGCTTGATGGTTCGAAATAGTGATTAGGAATTGTTAGGAATTGATTTACTTTGTCAAAAAAAGGTATGAAATCTTAAGAGTAGTCTTCTGTTTTCAAAATTAGGCCAACTGTCTTTCGAATATTACATGCCCTTGGGTCAATACGATATATCGCGCTAAAACAAAAGAGTGCAAGAAGCACAAAAGTTATAAGTGTCGCGCATTATGTTTGCTAGAGTTGGTTTGACCTTCAGCCAAGGCTACATGGTGCGATAACTGCTATCAAAATACAATACAACATTGGCTGACGTTTCGGCAGTATCGCCTTCTTCAGAGCCTGGAAGGGTATACTGATATACAATCTACTGGGCCAAACGCTTCAATAACACTTACAAAAAGACGAAAGACTCTTTGGTAATTACATGATCAACAGCTTCTCGAAAAACCCACCGCCTTTTTGTGACTTCCAATGAGGAGGTTTAGAACAGCTGATTATAGTCGCATGTGGTTGACGACTGCACCATCCCACATCAGAAATCGATGCGAACGTATGGGATCAGGTCGCGTATGACCTCCGGGCATTCGTCTCTGCTATTCATTGTAGGGATTTTGGCATTGATCCAAAAAGCCTCAAGGAGTTTTCGCGCTGGTGTTTTGGACTCCTGTGCAAGGATATTGACTTTTACTTCAAAATCGTCTCCGCTATGCTTTTGTATCCTATGCGTGCCTAGTGGGGTGCTTCGTCTTAGTTTTCGTTTGCCATTTAGGTGTTCTTTTATACGGATGCACAAAGGTCTGCCCGTTTCGCCAATATATTCATCTCCGCAATTATTACAAGAGATCAGGTATATCGCACCTGAACTCATGCAGTCATCGTCCTTGCCGTAAGGGCAAATTACGCAATTTGTTGTTTCACACAGACGGTCATACAGGCGGTTGCGAACTAATTGGCGACGTAGAGTAGCCGGTGGTATTTCAACTATCGCTACCGATTCCTCTAGACTTGCCCTTCTTAAGCATCGTTTTATAGCTACGCTTAGCTCATCGCTTATAAAAAGCAACATAAATGGGACCTTCTTTTGGCCAAGTGTTTCGCGTGGGCGCGCCGCTGTCATTCTAAACTTATCTCGTGGGGTTACTATTTCGTAGCCTTTGGAGATGACTGTTTGCCGAGCCAAGTCGCGCGATTCTTCCTTTAGTTCCCTCGTAGTGCACATAGAGGTGGCTGTTCGTAACATGTTTCTCACAACCGCCCTCTTTGTGTGTGAAGGGTGGGAAGAAAGGAAATGAACAAGAATGTTCTTGTTACCTGGCTTTCGATACCACTTTGTCAGGTAACCGCTAAAATCGATAGACCAACATGTTCCTTCCTATACCTACTTATTAAAACACATAAGTTGGTATCACCTGATGATCATGCGTCAACCAATCCGTCATCATTTAAGGTTAGACCGATCATCAGCTGTGTAGACGGGCCAACGGATAGAATAACCTGGTTTTTAAGCCTGATACTTACCCAGTTGCTTAACCACATTCCAGGTCACCGCACAAACACCCAAATGTTCCTAGAACGTATACGTAACGCATCTCCTATTAACGCGTACGTGATGGAGTCTTTCGACGATATCGCACTGTACACCAACGTGTCGAATGACTTCGCAATGCAAGCCATCTTCGAACTTCTTGTCGAACATGAAGGAAGAATAAATATGCATAGCTTGTCCATCCAGCAGCTATTGGCTCTCTTAAAGGTGTGCCTAAACTGCTCGATTTTCAGATGGTCTGGGAAATATTTCGCGCAAATAAGGGAGTTGGCAATGGGACAGCGAATGGCACCAAGCCTGGCCATTGTGTTTATGTCTAAGATAGAAGCCCCTGTTCTCGATCTCCGGCCACTACTCTACTGCAGATATGTAGATGATTGTTTTGTCGTCTTCTCTACGCAGGAGGAGATGGACAAATGCTTTGAATTATTGAACGAGCAGTTTGAGTACATAAAGTTCATCCGGGAAAAACCGAGAAAAAACTGGTTTCCGTTTTTGGATGTTCAAATAAACCTATCAAGTAGCGGTTACCTGACGAAGTGGTATCGAAGGCCAAGTAACAAGAACATTCTTGTTCATTTCCTTTCTTCCCACCCTTCACACACAAAGAGGGCGGTTGTCAGAAACATGTTACGAACAGCCACCTCTGTGTGCACTACGAGGGAACTAAAGGAAGAATCGCGCGACTTGGCTCGGCAAATAGTCTTCTCCAATGGCTACGAAATAGTAACCCCACGAGATAAGTTTAGAAGGCGAGCGGCGCGCCCACGCGAAACACATGGCCAAAAAAAGCTCCGTTTATATTGCCTTTTATTAGCGATAAAGTAAGCGTAGCAATTAAATGATGCTTAAAAAGGGCAGGTCTAGAGGAATCGGTAGCAATAGTTGAAATACCACCGGCTACTCTACGTGGTTAGTTAGCTCGTAACCGCCTGTATGACTGTCTGTGTGAAACAACAAATTGCGTAATTTGCCCTTACGGCAGGGACGGTGATTGCATGAGTTCAGGTACGATATACCTGATCTCTTGTAATAACTGCGGAGATGAAGATATTGGCGAAACGGGCAGACCTTTGTGCATCCGTATAAAGGAACACTTAAATGGCAAACGAAAACTAAGACAAAGTACTCCACTAGGCATGCATAGGATACAGAAGCATAGCGGAGACAATTTTGAAGTAAAAGTCAATATCCTTGCACAGGAGTCCAAAACACCAGCGCGAAAACTTCTTGAGGCTTTTTGGATCAATGCCAAAAACCCTACAATGAATAGCAGGGACGAATGCCCAGAGGTCATACGCGACCTGATCCCGTATGTTCGCATCAATTTCTGATGTGGGATGGTGCAGTCATCAACCATATGCGACTACAATCAGCTGTTCTAAACTTCCTCATTGGAGGTCACGTAAAAAGCGGTGGGTTTTTCGAGAAGTTGTTGATCATGTAATTACCAGAGAGTTTTTCGTCTTTTTGTAAATGTTATTGAAGCGTTTGGCCTAGTAGATTGTATATCAGTATACCCTTCCAGGCTCTGAAGGGGTTACTGCCGAAACGTTCGCTGGTGTTGTATGGTATTGTGTTTCTCTATGGAAGTAAATGTATGCCGTTTAAAAACCTCGCGATTGCTGAGCAAGAAAACGACGCATTCATATTCCAATGCCGAGGTTAATAGAAAGTCGATCCTGGGAACTTCTATCAAATATTCGGGGAAAAGCTCCCTCTGTTTCAGAAAGGTCGAAGACTGCTTAAGGTGAAGACCCGGGACGTTACAGCACGCCTATTCAAATTGAATCGCCTATCTTAATATTATCCGAATTATAGTAGAAAACATCGACTTGTCGTCAATCACTGACATTCATGAAACAGATCATCAACTAACAACCAGATCAACACGAATACTTAAAACCTTCCTTGATGGCAGATGTAAGACCAGTAGCCAAATGAAAGAAGGTTGGGATCTTCATGAAGTTATTAAACAGACGGCTGTAACACACCTATATACCACTGCTTTTGTTCCTATGTTCTTCGTTCTACATTTGTTGCGGTTGAGACCAAAAGAGTAAAGATTTCTAAAAAAGCAAGTCCGATTAGCTTTTCGCATGGCTTCAGAGTTAGACACAAAACGAAGGAAATGAGACCGAACACAGCTAACCGGTGTGCCAAAAATGACGAAGACAAATTAGGAATGTTTGCCGAAGCATATTTACACATAGCGCAACGGTACTCTGTAGAAAAAGAGGGCTCAAATAACCAACACCATCGAAGCACCTCCAAATGTCAAAGATGAACGAATGATTAAGTTAACGTCCCTCTATTGCTGCCACAAAAACCATTCGCTCCATCATTGTTTTCTTATGTGCCACGAAAAATGGATTCTAAGCAACCAATCACGATCTCTT